CTACCTCTTTCTGATAATGTTATCAGGTAGTTCCTTTTAGAAATGGTTGGCCAAATAAATGTTACAGGGCTCTGGGTTGCTTGCTTCTCCTTCTGGAGTTAGATTCTAGGTTCTCATCTTGAACAAAGAATTGAACAAAACAAAAAAAAAGCAGTGGCAAAATTTATTTGAAAAAAACAAAAGTGAAGAGTAAGAAACTGGCTCTGCAGAGTGAGCTTAGACTGAATGAAAGAGGAAAAAGCAAGATAAAACTACACCCTGGAGGAAGCAGGGGAGGCTACCATGAGGAAAGGCAGGATAGTGCTCAATATAATTTTTAATTTCCTGGATTTTTTTTTTTTTTGGTACCAGGCATCAAACTCTGGTCCTTGCGCTTGCGAGGCAGGCAGCAGAACCACTGAGCTAAACCCCAGGCCCTCCTGGATTTTAATTAAAATCTTTTCATGGCTTTTTTTTTTTTTTTTGAGGTAGAGTCTCAGTATGTAGTTCAGGCTGGCCTTGAAATTACTACGTGGCCCAGGCTGGTCTCAAACTCACAGCAATCATTCTGCCTCAGCCTCCAAAATGCTGGGATTACAAGTGTGCAGTACCACTTCTGGCTTTCAAGGACTCTTAGTTCTTAGCTAAACTGGTGGTTCACGTTTTGTTTCATTCTGTTTAGCTCAGCTAGCTTTTTTTTTTTTTTTTTGGTACCGGGATTGAACTCAGGACCTTGCACTTGCCAGGCAGGAGTGGTGCCACAGAGTTACATCCTGGTCCCGCGACAGTAATCTTACAGAGTTAACTAAAGATTAGTAAAGCTTTACGGTTATACCATTAAAGATAGAGGGCAGTGATGGTGAATCTATGTATGTGTGCCACAGCAGGTATGCAGAACCCTGTCGGCAGGTGAGCCAAGTTGCCTTAACAGACGAACATTGGATAACAGTTGTTTTTTCTAAACTAAAACTTCAGTATTCAGGTTTATTTGCAGTGTTGGCACTTTGTGATAAATTGGTGGGTTTCTGGCTTGCAGTCTGGGCACCCAAGCTCTAAAAGGTTTGCCATCACTGATATAGGGGGTTGGGAGTGCAAAAGAAAAAATTTGAAACCTTATGCTATATGATATAAGGAGAGAGGTGCAGGACAAAGGCTCCTACTGGGAGTAGAAGTATGTTTTTAGGGTTAAAGGTAATCCTTTTTTTGGGGGGGGGGTACTGGGGATCGAACTTGGGTCCTTGCGCTTGCGCAGCAGGTGGCAAAACCACTGAGCTAAATCTCTGGCGGGTTAAAGGTAATACTGAGCCAACACTGGTGCTCTACAGATGAAGTACTGTGGTGTGAGGGCTGTGCAGTCATAAAAGGCTAGGCAGGGGATTACCCTGGAAGGAAGGCGAAGCACTCAGACTTGTTTTCCTTTATATTGAAATATGGTGGACTGTCAAGTTACAACTGGCCTGACATACAATTTAGATTACAACCGGAATTTTAGTTTAACCTACAATCAAAATCTTGAGTAATGAACCAAATGTCAGCCACTTGCACTTCCAGATGGTCTCAGATACAGATTTAACCCTTAAAGAGTTCTGGAAGGAACACGACAACATCCTTTACTGTGTGGGGTAGAGGAATCCTGGGCCAATGTCTTTTTCTAAGGACACTGAGATCTGCCTGTGTACAGGACCAAGACTTTGAAGGCTGTGTAGAGAAGCCTGAGCCTTCAACTGACCAACTGAGTTACAACCACCCCTAGCAAATGAATTGAGTTTGTAAGTCAAGGGTCCACTGTACTTGTATTCTCATGTACAAACGCATATCAAAGACTTGAACATCAGTCTCTCGAAATTTGAGGATTTTAGGTCCTGAGTTCGATCCCTGGTACCGCAAAAAAAAAAAAAAAAAAGAAAAAAAAAAAAGGATTTTAATTTTTTTTTTTTTTGCTACCGGGGATCAAACTCGGGTCCTTGCGCTTGTGAGGCAGGTGGCAGAACCACTGAGCTAAATTCCCTGCCTGGATTTTAAATTTTTAATGCTTTTTGTGTAATAAATATTTGCCTGCCTAAATGGCTCCCCTCACAAAAAAAAGGTAACAAAAAACTGAGAAATAGATAAAAAAAAAAAAGAAAAAAATTATATGGGAAAAATGAGAAAAAAAGGGAGAAAAATTAAAAAGAGGAAAATAAAAAGAGAGAAGGAAAAAAGACAAAGGAAAACTCCCCAAACCTTAAAACTTGTGAAAAGGAAAGAAAAAACAAAGACACACACACACACTCCCCTCCCTCTGATTTATTTGTACCGGGGATTGAATTCATGACCTTGTGTTCCTGGCCCGCTTTGATTTTAAATGTGTGGTTTTCTGGGCTCTACAACTCTGGGGAAGTGTCCATCAACACGCATCCCTGATCATGCTGGTAAAGGAAGCAGCCAGACCCTAGGTCTGTGCTGGATGCAGGCACCAGCAGGCAATAGAAGTAGGGCAAGGGTGCCAATGCTGCAACTTCCAAATCCAGAGTAACTCAGGCCTCTGGCCATGGGATTAGGGCTTGCACCCTTTAGCTCAAACCACTAAGGGGTTCATTTTCCAGCCACTCCCTGACCATGGCTATCGCCCAGTCACTGTGGGAACGTGACACTGGGAGCCCTTCAGGTGCAGCCACCCCACAGCTGCTGAGCCCGATTCAAACCATCAACCCTTCCCTGGAATGGCATCCAACCACTCTTTCCAGGGATATGGTGAGTACTTTGAGTCACTCACCAGTTACTGTGGGTTGAAGGACTCATGTAAGACCAGAATCGCACTCTCCCTGTAGACCATAGCAACTGCCAGTTTGTTCTGCCACTGCATTTCTCCTCAAAGACACCTGGAGTACACATCTTTGACTTTGTCTCTGTAAGTTGTCTCCCTTTCTTGAAATCCACAAGCTAGGAGCTAGGGAGGAAGTGTAGATTGTTTCTTCTCTGCGTTGTGCTGTCTTCAACTTCTCTGTAGGTTTTAATTTTTGTCAGATCCCTGGTTCCTAGGGTTCTACTTTTCTTCTTCCCCAAGTGGTTAATTTTCCTGTGTGTATTCCTAATCTTGGAGAGGCTATGTTGTTGCTTGCCACTCTATCATTTTCCAAAAAAGTACAATTTTTGGGTTTGTTTTGTTTTTGTACCAGGGATTGAACTCGGGTCCTTGCACTTGCAGAGGCAGGTGGCAGAACCACTGAGCTAAATTCCTGGCCTTAAAAAGTACATTTTTTTTTGGTACTAGGGATCAAACTCAGGACCTTGCCTTTTTGAGGCAGGCAGTGGAACCACTGAGCTAAATCCCAGCCCCAAAAGTACATTTTTAAACTAATGAGCATGTTTTTATTTTTTTTTGGTGGCACTAGGGATTGAATCTAGGGCCTTCACATTACACCCCTATTCTTTGAGAGAAAGTCTCCCAATGTTACAGAATTGAATAGGGCTGGGCTTAAACTTGCCTGATTCCCCGAGTGCTGGGATTACAGGAGATTTCACTGCTCAGCTGTTAATTTCAAAATTTTATCCATAAAACAAAGCCTCCTATCAATTTCCAAGGGATCTTGGTTCTACTTAGGAGACTGAGCCGGGCATGGTGGTATATACCTGTGATCTCAGCACTCAGAAGGCTACAGTAGGTTTGCAAGTTTGAGCCCAGCCTGAACTACAAAGTGAGACTGTGTGAAAAAACCCAAAACATCTCAACTTTGTTGAGCAATGGAGAGAAACATCAAGTACAAAGCTCCTCAGAGATGCTTGGTTCGTGCCAGGCAAATTCAGGTCCTGGGTCAGGTGACTGTGCTTCTTGGTCAGACTTCATCTCTGCTAAGCAGTCAACCTTGCTGAGAACCAGGCTGGTTCTGGATGTCACCAAGGGGATAGTGGCCACTAGCTAAACTCCCTATGTCCTCTCCACCCTAAGAAACACCTGGGACCCCTCTCTACCTTCTGAGCCCACACACAGCCTGCTGCCCAAGCGAGTCACCAGGACCAAGCCTCAAAGAGACAATGGATCCTGTGCTCCTCAGAAACCCAAAGGACCTGACTCGGCACCATTAACTGGGGCCTCACAGCTGTTCAGACAGCAGGGAAACATCACTGGTGACAAATACAGGAACAGGACCATTCCCATCCAGGGGCTTCTCTGGGGACACACACCTCCCTGCACTTAGTGATTCAGAGGGGCAGCGGGGATGTAGCTGCAGCAGCTGCACTTTAGTCACACGGGACAATCTCTGGCACTGGAGGGGCACCTGGAGCCAGGCTCACACCTCTGCCACCAGCCCTAGAGAACTTTTAGTCACAAACCCCACTCCCCAACCCCAAGCAGGCCATTTCCTCTAACTTCAGGATCACCTTTATGCCTCAGGCCCTCTGCCCTCCCTGTGGCTGGTACATGGTCTCTCTTAAGAACTCCACCACCAATGCTCGGTCTACACTCCTTTTTTTCCTGGTGCCAGGGTTGGAACCCCGGGTTCTGTCCTGCTGCTTCTTTCCTTCACTCTGCTGGGGCCAGCCTTGGAACTTCTCACTGACCAGTCCCCCCTCTAGGTGAGCTCCACTGCGTGCAGCTCAGTCTTCCCAGGCACCCCTCGAAGCCCTGCACCTTGACTGGTGAGGGTAGCACCAGACATGCAGTGATATGCATGGCTCGCCCACACCTGTTGGCCACGACACTGCCCACCACTGTTGTGGGGAGCTAGAATTTCTTCCACAAGCAAGCAGCTGTAAAAAGACTTGCTTTTCTCCACCCGGGGAAAAAATTATTTCTTTACCTAACCAAAACTACTATGGGAAGGTTTCTGTCTGGTTAGGGAAAATTACATTTTTAGGAAATGAGAGAAAAGAGTAAGAAAAACACTGCTGTCCTATTTCAAGCTTTTAAAAATATAATCCAAACCTATACCTCACATTACAGTGTACTCAGAATTCAGGCAGTGCTTCCTAGGTTGAAAACTGAATCTCACAAGCATGTAAACGCTAAACAGAACTCAAAAATCAAGGTGGACTCTAAATATTATGTAAGGTTTTTCTTTTATTTAAAAGGTCATTCACAAAATACCATATCCATAGATTTACTTTCTGTCATACAGCTGAATGTATTGTGTTTGGAATTCCACCCTCGAATCTGGAAGGCAGCTGGGTGCCCAGCCGTTTGGATGGATTTGTTTTGCTCTTGATCTTTCTGCATTGAGGATATGTATGGGTCGTCTCAAAGCATCGGGTTTGTTACAACCACATAATGCATGTCTTTCTTAAGTTAGGTGTTGGTGTTATACAAATGGTTCTTATCTCAGAAGCAGAGAAGATGATAGGCAGGGGGGAGAAGTGCGAGTTCTGTAAGTTGCTGAGACCTTGCAACAGAGACAAATCAGAGGGGCTGAGAATGACAGCTAGTGGGGAACCCCAAGGCAAACAACTACACTGTTGTCCCCTTGGCCTTCCAGCCATCCTGACCGGGTCTCCCTTCCCTGGGGCTCTAGCAGCAGACTGAGACTCAGGCACTAAAGGATTTCCCATCTGCTCACACACAGGAATCTGAGCTCAAAAACTGCTGCCCAACACCTTCCCAGGTGAGCGCCAACCACTGCACATGAGCAAGACCGTCCCAGAGACAAGGTGGCTAGCCTGAACATCTATGGTCCTCTGCAGTCAGTGAGGGTCCGGACAGCTCAGCATGGGAAAACTTACAATACTCATGGGAAATAAAGTGCCAGTTTCGAGGCCATTTCCACTACGGGTTCACAGGGAAGTGGGAAGCAGTCTCATCAGGCTACTTTTGGGAGAACAGACGCACAGAGGAATACACCGGCAGACAACAGGGATGTGGGGAAGGCCATGTCCGCATCACTGTGTCAGCCCAGTGCAGCAGCACCACCACCCAGTCCCCATAGCACCCAAGCCCCAAGGTAATGACGTGAGCCACCAGGCGGCCACAGTCAGCAGAGGGGAGGCCCTAATGCCTCAGCAGCAGGGAGCTATCTGGACACAGTCTCGGGAGAGCACAGCAAGCTGTATGAACACACAGCCCTTGGTTAACAGGTGAGGAGCACCACCAACACAATCGTCACTCTTCCCCAGGGCCTTGCACCTACTACTCTGCCTGTCCCATCTCCAGGGACAGCTGATGGCACCAGGACACCCTAGAAGCAGGACCACAAGAGTGGGAGGAAGCTTCAAGGCTCAACAGAAACTTTTCCTTACTTCTAATACAAGGTGTTTCCAATTCTGCATGCTGATCACAGCTGGATACAAACAAGGAGCTGGCCAACTTGCCAGCAACTTCTGCTTTTTCCCAGAAGCCACAGCAGCACAGAACTCAGCATGCGGGTCAGAAGAGAAGCACTGAGAAAATCAAGTCTGGCCCATGTCGAAAACAAAAAGAGAAGAACCAAAGCAAGCAGCACCTGGGCCTGCCCCTCCCACGTGGCAGCCCTCACTCCTCCTCTAGACACCTCGTGGTGCAAAGACACGGAAGCAAGAGGGAAGGAGGACAGAGGACAGAGGAAAATGAGGACAGAGAAGGAAAAAAAAAAAGCACGAAACAGGCACTAGATACAGCAAAGCCAAGGATGTACTAAAAACCACTTGTTAACAGCTGACATGCATTCACAAGCTCTGTTTCCACTGTAGGAAGGACAGTGTCAGGCGCAGGAATGGTGACTGCGGGGCTGACTGCGGGGTGGCTGGTCCAAGGCCCTCAGGCTGTGGTCTTGCTCTAACTCCCCACACCCCATTCCCCACTGCGCGCTCATTCTTGCTCCTTGTTAACGACTTCCTCTCTGGGCCGGGCTCCCCCGAAGATGGCGGAGTTGGGGTTGGCTACTTGGTTGAGGGGCGTTGCCACTGTCCGAGGTTTGAGCTGGAGCCGTGGTCTCTGTGCTCGTTCCTCTGCAGAGAGAAAAATGCCAAGTTTATACAGAATGGCTTCCAGCCCATACCCAGGCAACCAGCCAGACAGAAGATGGTGATCAACTAGCCCAGGGATGGGGAACCTACTGCACGAGTGCCACAGCAGGCTCTTGTTATCACTGAAAGCTCTGAAAGGTTTGCCATCACTGGCCCAGCCCATGCTCTCAGATACACAGTGGAGAGACCCGGACTCTGTCACAGATATCCTACTCGAGACGAGGGTGACCCAAGACAACCACTGCGCACGGCGAGAAAGGGGGGCAGTCAGCAAGTCAGCAGCACGCCCTCCAGGGGGGCCACGCCATACCTTCTGTGGGTTCTCGGAAGTCCATGTTGGAGCCACGCAGTGGGGGTGCGTCTCGGAAGCGACTCCCCATGGGAGGGCCTGCTCGCCGGTCCCCTGGGCGGCTGCCTCCTCGGCCTCCTAGGAAGTCATCCCTGTAACCTGAAGGAGAGAGGGGCTGCTGAATTCTTTACACAACTTTCTCAAAGCCAGTTACATGGTGTTCTGGGAATTGGCTCTGAGTTTTAATTCTTTAGTCTGCTCAGCACCTGAGGTTTTTTTCAAAATAAAGTACATTAAAAACACAACCAAGCAAGAATCTATTGTGTGATTACAACATTCACAGCTTTTTTTAAGTAAAAAAAGGCACAGAATCATAGGAAATAAAATGAGCTGTTTAGATTCTCAGCTTGCAGGAAAAGTGGAAAAACATGAGACTATCCTCTATCTAATATGGCTTCAAACAGAAATCCTGGGAGCAGGCCTCAGTCTCGTTTCTAATATAAATCCACAGCTATTTAGAAAGACAAACCTGAAATTTACATGTTTATAAACACGAAATCACAAGGAAAAACTGTATGAGATGAGCACTGAGTCACCACTGGGTGCTCCCCCTCCCGTTCCTGCTGTGACCTGGGCGTGAACCACTCACAAAGCACCTTGGAGACAAGAGATTATGGGAGGTGGCTACTACCCCCCCACCAGGGTCATTGCCACTGCCCCCCCCACTTCTGGGTCTTCTCCAGCAATGCTGGGGTTCTCATCTGGGATCAAAGGAAGTATTTCAGCCAGGTGTGGTGGCACACGCCTGCGATTCAGCACACAGGAGGTTGAGGGAGGAGGCCACTCTGAACTACATAGCAAAACCCTGTCTTGAGGCAAAAAAAAAAAAGCTAGTTTTTTTGGGGGGAGCTACTTAAGCTTCTAACTTTAACAGCATAGCCCACTGAACTTAACTATCATAGAAGCAACCTGGGAGGAAGACAGTTGCTCCCTCTGCCAGTGGTCGGAAGGGGACTGCCTGTACCACTCAAAGGGTGGTACCATGGTTCAAAGTATTTTAGAGACTAACAGTTTTTGAGACAAACCCTCAGAGCCTGAGGTACATTTTTCTATATGAAGTCAATCCTCTTTGTTCAGATTAATCTACCTGAAAAATTCATTTAATCCCCAAATCAAGCTGGTGGCACTTCTGCAGGGGTTGGAGTCATCACATGCTTGTTCCCCCTAGGAGGACAATGGGAACCCTCTGTCCTTCCCAGGGACCCCAGGCCAGGCCTTCTGTCTCCCCCTCTGCATTTAGCTGGTGATGTCAGTGTGGACAATGGGCATTGATGCAGTGTACCTTTGGGATAGCACAGGAGGATCACACAGGCTGTGACTGTACCTCGAAGTACAGCAGGCAGCAGGCTACAGGTCCGATGTTCATGACTCAATGCTACACACTAAATACCCAGAATTCAACACAAGTGCATAGAAAACAAGATTTAGGTACTACTGTGGGATGAGAATGCAGTGACCAGAGGCTTGCAGGCCTGGCTGCCAGTGCTCAGGGAGACTTTATAGAGAACTCAGCCACCCTGAACAATAAGAACTGACTGCGTGTTCCACAGATACCACAACTGTTCTTTATGCGTGATAGGTAGGGATATTGGAAATAGAGCAATAGAAGCTTCACTCTGAGGAAAATACACTTGGATGAATATAGTCAAATGCAAGGTCCTTTACAGTCTTAACAACTATACTACAGTTCATTCATATAGTGAAAAAAATGAACTAGTATTCAAACATTTAACCTGACATTTCCCCCAAACTAAACTGAAGTTAACCTTTCCACATGCAGAAGGAAGCCCTGGCCTTTTCTGTGAGATTTAACTGCCCCAGCTTTTGGCATGAAACACATCAGCTCACCCCCACTGATGTGGCAAATCGGCACACTGCTGCTGTGCCCAGGGGCCCAGGCACGCTAAGCGCAGTGACGAGAATATCAGCGCACACGAACACCAAGTGCAAGCCTCACTTCAACTTGCCTGTGCAATGCACACTGGGAGACGACACAAGAAGGAAAAGCAAGGTTTGCCACTAACAAGTCCTTTTAATCAAGTTTTGGGCAGATTATTGAAGACCCTTCCCAGTGTTCTGTGCGATGTTTACTCGAACACACTAGTGTTTGGTGCCCAGGAGGGAACCTAGGGCGTCATGCATGCTAAGCACACCCCCTAGTGAGCTACACTCCCAGCCCCAGAGGCCTATTTGTAATCCCTTTCCTCTTTGTACTGTTCTGTATTGCTCAATTTTGGATGGTTTTAAAAATTACATGAACAACAAAACAAAAAAGTTACAATGAACATGTGTCATTCAAAAAACAGCACCACTGGATTAGAGTAAAACAGATCTATTTTTCCAGGCAATGTCTTTTTTTTCTTTTTGGTACCAGGGATTGAACTCAAGACCACTGAGCTAAATCCCTGGGCCTTCCAGGCAGTGCCTAAAGCATCAAACCACCTGTGGCTCTAGCAAGCAAGCAAGCACAAAGTATGTGGGCTGGATGCAACCGTGCCCTGGGGTTCACACGGAATGGGGCTGCCCAGGCACGGAGGGACAGTCAACCGTGGGAAGCCGCCTCTCAGGAAGTGCACACAGCGGGAGCTCTGAGCTTGTGGGCTGCTCCCACATCACCTCCTGGTGCAAAGCTGTCACACGGCCCTGACGGCTGCCCTAGGTTGGCTGGGGAGGACCTCTGCTGCATGTTTCAGTGAGAGATCAGCTCATGCATAAAGTTACAGATTTTCTGGACTGGATGGTACTGCACTCTTAGGAATAAGCTTACTTCTGCCTGCAGCAGGACTTTCAAGAACTTCCTCAACAGACCAAGAACACCTGCACAGCACTGGAAGTTGGGGGGCAGCGGCAACCTCTCCTGTGGTGGTGGACAAGGCAAGATCTGCTTGGGTGGGGCTGGGGGCCTGCTTTTCCTGAACCATATAATGGTGCACAGCAAGCACCTTGAGTTTGTGGGGAAGGAAAGGAAAACAAGACTTGCTTTTCCTTAAACTTTGCTTATAAATGACATTCCTACCATGCATAGGAGTTACCTGCATAATTAAAAAAACAACTGTAGAGATAAGGAAGCACTTAAGAAACCAATTTTCAGAGGCCTGACCTGTGAACTGAGCTCCTGAGCGGAGAACCCACTGGTCCTCCTGGGCTGGCTGAGAACAGGATCCTTTGTTCTTGAAGGGACTCAAGTTCCAAGTCCCTTGAGAAAAAACAGGGCGCCAAGACGACCTGCATCAGCTAAGAAGGAGCCACCAGGAAGCACAGCTCCAAGGCTTTCTTTCTGGAAGCTCCCAGAGCCTGCACACTATCATTTGCAGAAGCAACGGTGCCTCTCTGCGCCACACACAGAGGCGAGTGAAGCCACTCCCCTGGGCAAAGGCCCCGGCAGTAGAAAGACTACTGAGCCAGATCAAGGGCCTGAGCACCAAGAAAGGGTTGGGCCAGGCAAAGGAATGGTCCAGCTGCCCACTACACAGCCTCCATCCTGCCCAACAAGGGTCAGGGAGATGCTTACTGCATGCCTGGGTGCTTGTGGGCAAAGTTCCATTTGCAAAAGGAGCTAAAGAAGTAGTCAGGCCTGGCCTGCTTCTCCCAAGCACCACCAGGCAGCAAGGCTACCAGAAAAGAAGTGTGTTACTGTAAATACTGATACCAGAATTGAAGTCATCCCGGGAATCCCAGCCACCTCTAGATTCTCGAGAGCCACCTATTCCTGAGGGTACACAAAAAAGATAAACGTTGAGGTCGTATCATTGCCTTGCTGCAGAAACATGGAAAAATTTACTGGGACGACATACAACTCAGGTGATGGGAGTTCAATGAAACCATTCTTTTTTTTTTGGTACCGGGGGATTGAACTCGGGACCTCTCGCTTGCAAGGCAGGTGCCAGAGCCACTGAGCTAAATCCCTGGCCCTCAATGAAACCATTCTAATAGCTTTTGCTGCCAAAAGAAAAAAAAAACCAGGCTCGCAGAAGCCTAGCTATTCTTCCTAAGGCTTTACAAAGTTTAAAGCTCCCCAGACCCTACCAAACCTCAGAGACAGATTCCGTGAGAGATGCTCAGGAGTCGTAAGCAGTGGGCACACAGCCAGTTATATTCAGTCTTAGAAGAGCCAATCACCTCTGTCATCTGGTCCACCTTTCCTGAATCCAAAGCCACCTTTATCTTGTTTTCTGCCTTCTGCAATGTCCACACGAAGTGACCGATCACCCAACAGCTAATGGTAAGGAGAAAATAGTGTAAGTATCAACAAGAAAACAAATCCCAAGTGCTCATGGCACCCGAGATCCCCCAGGATACTTACTGCACCATCGTAGGTCAGGGCTTCCTTTAGGGAGTCCACTTCATCGAATTCTACATAGCAGAATCCTGCAAGGGAAAGAAAACCCCAGCTTCCTCAAGTGGTTCCCAACTGTAATCCACTGGGATGACAGGTCCCACCAACCTACACCAAAACGACCAGTTTTGTGGCATCTAGGGGACAGCAGACCTTAAGAGAGCACCATTTCACTCTCAGGAAACAGACTGTGACTGGTATTCGTACCCCTAAATCTTTTTTTTTTGGGGGGTACCGGGGATTGAACTCAGGTCCTTGTGCTTTCGAGGCAAGCGTCGGAACCACTGAGCTAAATCCCCGGCCCGTCGTACCCCTAAATCTTACTTTATCAACAGAAAATGCTAACCAAAGGCTGAGGCAGGAAGAACACAAGTTTGAGTCTTGCCTGGGCACCTTAATGAGACCTGGGCTCAAAATACAAAAAAGGCTGGCTGGGGATGTAATCTAGTGCCAAGGCTCTGGGCTCAACCCCAAGACTGCAATAAATGAATGAATGCTTTGAGCAGGCTGGAGGTGCCTAGTGACTTCCTACTTGGGCAGCTGATGTAAATAGCCTCAACAACAAGGGCATTCTCATCAGGGTGTCTGGTGATGGCCTAGGTCCAAGCATGTGTCACTGACATCCGACTCACTATCCCTTCCTTGCTGCCTGGAGCCTGAATGTGTCTAAGCAGCCTCTCACACCCACCTCTCACTCCAACCTGTGCATACCATGTTGAGCTCAACTGAGAAAACCACTCCCAAGTTCAAGGAGGCAACAATAGGCCAGCCACACATGTCCTACTCTCGAGCTGCTAACAGCAGATGACCCTGAGACAAACTCCAAAAGCCAGGCTACTGACTCAGCCCCAGCTGGGGTCACCCACCTGTCACATGGATCTGCATTTCTAAGGCTCGCCACAGGCACACTGGGTGGGACTTACTTTCCCAGGCTGCTCACCGGCTGCCCATGTACTATGCTCAGCTGTAGGCTCCACAGGTGAAGTGCACTCGCTACTCCCAGACCAGCAACACTTTCTCTGCTACTTGCACAGGGCCCCTGTGCTTCCATGGATGCACGGTGTAAGGCACCATGTGCCCAGGCTGGGCACACTTCCTGCCAGGGCACCGGAAAAGGTAATGACCATCTGACCTTCCTTACTCCTCTGCTCGAGTGCTCCGCAGAGCCCGACCTGTCGATATTAACTTTATTTGAAATGAGCCAACCCTGCCCCAAATGCACGCAGTTCACTTTACCACTGTACACTGGTAACTCTGACTAAGTTATCTTTGCATTTCTAACTACAATAAAAATACAAATCAGTCAAGGGGAAAAGGGCCTTAAAGGCCCTCAGTTTTCTCTCATTTCTCTCCTGGGCAATTCCTTTGCTGTGTGAGACAGGACTGCTAGGAAATGAAGATCAGGCAAACAAACCTGAGCATACACCACATATTTCTACAAACTATATTATATAAAAAATGCTGCTTTCCCAGGAAGAACTGAAGATCTACGAGTTAAAAAGTTATGTTTATTTCAGCCACCCTTCCATGATTAGAAGTTTCTAGTTCAACAATACATTTCATTCGGGTCTCCCCAACCCTTCACAGTAATAAGTAATAAGAATCCTCAAGACTCACCTTTGAACTTGTCTGTGTCTTTGTCTCTGACTAGCCGTACACTCCTTATGCTGAGATCCTTAAAGATAGCATCTATGTCACCCTGAACTGTATTAAAAGGGAGGTTTCCTACATAGGCTGTGTAGGGGGGCTCTGTGGGCAGCTCCTTCTGGCTACGGGAACCATGGCCGCCAGCGCTGCCGCGGGACCTAGGGGGAGATAGACAGGACTCGGGTCAGCCGGGGCCCCTGCCCAGAGCAGGACAGGCCACGCCTGGTCTTCCACTCAGCCACACAGCAGCCCAGCCACACCAGCATCCACAGCAACCACAGATCTTCATGTTATAAAGACTTCTACAATATCATTTATCAAAAAGGTGCCTAGTTTTGGAGATAGAAAGATAATGGACGGGCCAACGACACACTGTATTCAGAGGGAGTGCAGAGGTTTGAGCACATCACAATGCAACTGCTTCTTTCCACCTCAGGTAAGAACACTCCAGTGAGAATTTTCAGTGCTGGGCAGCAAGTACTACCTATGTACACATCACCCTCCGCTCCGAGCACACTCCTGGTCCTCTAGCACACAGCACCGTGTGGCACCAGTCCACTTAACCTCCTCACCTGCTCCTCAGTTACAGCAAGAGTGCTTACATTGCAGAGGCACTGCTTCAAATTCCAACTCTCACTCACATCAGCTATATGTCCTAAGGAGTTAGTCATCTGTAAGGTTTATTTCTAGCCAGGTGTGGTGGTGCATGGCTGTAATCCCAGCCCTACAGGAGGATCACAAATTCAAGCCCAGCCTGGGCAACTTAATGAGACCCTGAATCAAAAAAGGGCCAGGGGATGTAGCTCAGCAGGAAGGCCCTGGGTTCAATCCCCAGCACCACAAAAATAAACAGATAAATTTAATTGTCAACAGTAACATAGTTCTTTTTTTTTTGTTGGTACTGGGGATGGAACTTGGGACCTTGCGCTTGTGAGGCAGGCGGCGGAAGCACCAAGCTAAATCCCCAGCCCCATAGTTGAGTTATTTAAAGTGACAATTACAAGGTGCTTTGCACATTGCCTGACAGTGCACAGATGTGCAGGAGCAACCACCACTGTCACCTCTGCCTATAAACTGCTTGTTAGAAACACTATATAGATGGTTAGAGAACAGCCACAAAGGGTACACCCAGAAGAGGACCCCAAGGCACCTGTGGCTGGGGTGATGACCGCCTGTCACTGTGGGCTCACGGACAGCACTGCAGGGGCGACTCTGGTGTGGGCCACTGACACTTCGGGAGGCTGTGTGTTGGGGCAGGGGATTATGGGAACTCTTTACTTTCTGCTCAACTGTGCTGTGAGCCTAAAACTGCTCTAAAGATAGAGCCTATTTAAATAAATGGAGGCTCTTTCCATTAGTAAAGGAATGTCAGCTAACAAATGTAGACAAAAATTATATCGTCAGAAAAATCATTACTCCCAACCACCAACGTAGTAAGTGATTCAGTGAGGGCTCATCAGAACCAGGGCGAAGTGGTTTTCTGGGGACAAGATACTTGCCTTACCTCAACTATCACCATACAGATAAAGATTACTACTAGTCTGAAGGTAGAGGGAGGTCCTTCTCAAAAGGAAATATTTGTCAGTCACCACTTAACCAGGAACTGAACTCAGTACCACTAGTAATGAAGCAAACTTATGTTGTTGTTGTTATTATTATTATTATTTGGTACTCGGGATTGAACTCAGGACCTTGCACTGAGCTAAATCCCCGGCCCCAAATTTATGTTATATGCTCCCTGTTTGAGCATAGATTCTTCAAACTTGTCAGTCACAAAGTCAAAAAAGGCAGAGAGGACTTAAAAAATACAACAACTAATGTTCTGTGTGATCTCTGGACCCTGGACCAAATGGCCATAAAAGAACAAGCAGGTGGAGAACCTGCATGTGGCACAGGTATGAGACATGACTGTGTCAATGCTGCACTTCTCAGGCTGAGGACACTGTCCTTAGTAGAGGATGTGTTAAGAAGGGAATGTTTACGTTCACACACGTGCGCATGTGTGTGTGTAAGCTGCTGCGAATGGGCACTGTGTCACTCTTTTAACCTCACTGCAGATTTGAAAGTGAAACAGAATGTAGGGAAAACTCGAGAGAAAAAAAGGAGTGCCTCTACACAAAAGGGACATTCTAATAATTGACATATCTGCCACTTCCTAATGGGATGCTCTGCATCCAGCTCTAAAAACACAAGGGAAACAGGTTTGCTAGTGACTCGCTGGCCACTCGCACCCACTTTCCCCACCCTCGAGAGCTTGGTTAAATGAGACTTCAATACACTCCTGCAACACTGCTCTCCCCTTCCTATCTCCCCAACCACAAGTCCTCAGATATTTTCAGTAACAGTCTTTAGACTGGACAATGAATGTATACAATATAACACAACCATCTGGAAACCTGCCACGGTGAAAAATGAATGGTAACACTTTAAATTCATTTACTCAACACTGAACATAGAAAATATTCCCTTGCATTCAAGCAGTTGACAAGGAGCATACATAACGTGCACGACCACACAAAAGTATGCAGGCAGGCGTGGTGGGGCACATACAGCAGCTCCCTGTCCCAGGGAAGTGTTCCAAGATGTTCCAAGGAGGCCTGAAACTGGTTAGTGCCTTTTTCCTGTACCTACCTATGATAAAGTTTCAGGTGTGAGGCACAGTAAGAGCTTAATAACAACAATAACAGGGCCAGGGATTTAGCTCAGTGGTGCCACCACCTGCCTCAAGCACAAGGTCCAAAGTTCGATCCCTGGTACAAAACCAAACCAAACCACACCAACAATAACAGAACAGAACAACCCTACCAGTATACTGCAATACATGTTTTGCCAGTGTAGCCTCTTGTTCTATCTCATGGCCCCGAACTCATCATTCCTATTCTTGTGTGACGGGAAATGACATGATGCCTGTGATGCACTGACACTGGCACTGCATCAGGCCACAGTAGCCCTTGTGACAACAGGTCAGCAGGAGGATGGTGATGACATCGGTGGGTGATGGGTGTAGTGAGACAAAACGATGACGCACATCCAGGGCAGGACAAACTGCAGCACTCTACTCCTGACATCGCGCAACTGAAAGCACTATTTCTCTGGAATTTTCCACTTAAAACTGAGACTATAGCTGATTCCAGGCTCATGGAAACTGCAGAAAGTAAATTCTGGATAGGGGGACCATGATGGATACATACACAGTGGGCAGAATGGGTGCAGCCCCGAATGCTGATAAAGAGGCAGGGAGGCTGCTCAAAGGGCTCCCTACTCATCTGCCGACAACTCATGTTGGCAGGTAAGGGTGAGATGAGAGGGTAAGGTCAGGCTTGGCTGCTGTCTGAGCACAGGGAGCCTAAGGGATGAATCCCTGTTAGCAAGTAGGAGGGTATGGTTTTGTGGAAGGCAGATCGGGTTTAGGCAAGCAGGAATTGTGAAGGGCTTCCTAATATCAGGTGGATGGATCCGCAGCTATCTGTGATGTAGCTCTGTCTCTGGGCTTCAGTAGCGTGCTACACGACAGCAGGCTCCAGCTGCAATCCACCCTGCTGTGTCTAGGCAGTGCCCACTTGTGTACCAGCAACCTGAGCCAGGGGGAGCAGACAACCCCTGTAGTACACATTTCGGGGGTTGGATGACTCGGCTACCACCTATACATGAACAAAGTGAGGTCCCAGAACACAAGTGCCCAAGGTAACTGCGACTCTGGAGTTAAGGGGGAGGTTATAGCTCAAAAGTAATGAAAATGTTGACTTTCAACATCGGAAATGAATGATTAATTTGGAATCTAGATCATGTACTTTCCACAATCCAACCTCTAGGTTCCTAAAGTAAACTACTGGAAGAAATTTGGATCTAAGATCCCAGGAGTTTTAATTCAAGTGGAGAGAAAAGAATTGTGGGCAGACAGGATGACTGGATTAAGCAGCAGTTCTTTTCAAAAGGGCTGTCTCAGACACAGAACTGCACTAAGGTGACCTTGATGGCACTGCGGGAATTACACTTGAAAGGTGATACTCACAGGGTGCTTCGGTCCAGGAGAAACACTCGGTGGTATGGAGCACAGTGGCATTACCTGATGGTGCGTCCTTAAACAGGCCACAAATACAGGGAGGAACTGATTCCCCCTTTGAGTTGGTTAGCTTGGCACAGGACCTCTGCCAAATCATGCCTGCACCTCAGTTTTCTTGTCTCTTATTTTATAAATACTTCAGATGTTAATCTCATAAAGATGTGAAACTGACAGTGCAAACACTTTATAAACACTGAGTATTCTCCACAAATCTAAAACAATTCCACAGTATTCAGTTACAGTGAACACACCCGAGCAGGGGCACCAGGGCAGGCAGGCACGGATGCACAGTGGGAACCAGGCAGGCAAGGCGCAGGGCTCTGGCACCCAACCCCCTTCTCCTGCCACCACTGCACCGAGCCCTCTCCGCTCTGCTCCTTAGTGCCCCGGGGCAGTCTATCTTTGAAATAATATGAAAGTGTCAAAGTAGCAAGTACCACGCTAAGTAATCAAGGAAATCCAACTTTCAGCTCTACATGTGACCCACATCCTTTACAGACAAAGTCACTTTTCTTCACTTAAACCAACCAAATAACTGAATGTCTGTGAAGGCCAGAATACAAAGGTATGTATGGAAGGTACAAAACTAAGACCTACTTCCTACCCTTGGGGAGCGGATAATCTACTGGTTAATCCACTGGGGTGGGTTCTGGAAGGGGAGATCCCACCCACCACACGCCAAGGACTGCACACAAGTTCGGGAGAGAGAAGGTAGGACAGTCTCCCCAGGGCGGAAGCGCCAAAGCCAGAGCAAAGGCAGCACAAAGAATCAGGCACCTGAGCCTATATTCAGCAGCAGAGAAAACACCCAGCCCTGAAGCTGGGCCAGCAAGGACGCCCAGCCTAACAGCTGGACCAGACAAGAGACCAAATAAGAGGACAGATTACTTACCAGGCCTGGGCCCAGACCCAGGAAGTAGCAGAAACTGTAAAGTGCAAGACTAACTTTCAAAGTACAAAAAATAATAAAATCGAAGGACACATGCTAACTTATTTCCAGCAAAGGACTTTATTATGAAGCCGTCGAGGTGCATCAGAAACCACACAGAATTTAAGCACTGCTGTGGTCAGGACAAGGGCTGAGGCCCCCGGAGG